AGCCCCATGTTAAAGTGCTCAACTTTACAGCAGAAAAAATCAGGTTTACAGCCTGGTACAAAAATAGTTTCGGTCTCTATAGCTAATTTCCCCTGTCATGACAACTGTACAGGGTAAATTTTTTATGTAACTCACTGGCTCAAACTTTATTGAAGTTTAAACTCATGCACAATTGAGGTTGTGGCCACTTTGAGTGACAGGTTGTCTGCAATGAGTCACCCCAGTCTATTGTCAGATCCACCCCTTGCTCCTCCCTAGCTCCAAACTCTTGTCCAGATCAGGTCCCTCCTGGCCCCAAATATTCAAGATGGCGACTACCAAAATGCTGAAAGCTTCAAAATGTGAGTCTACAAACCAATGGCTGACATCATGGCGGTTACGTCCATTATTTTTATACAGTCTATGATACTGATGTATATGAATTTATAAAGTTTTCCTTTAGATAATAATCAGAAGCTTTCCTGATTTAAATTTTATGAAGACAGAACAATACAGTTTCGGTTATGGGTATGAAATTACCGAAATCTTCTGCATCATAGGGCCGATAGAGCATGTGCACTAACACTTCCTTTAACCCTGGCTCCCAAACCCACGGTCTCCAGCTCACTCACATGGACACCAGTTCGTAATAACTATGGATTTGGCCATAAGTGAATTTTAAAACTTTTAGGACATTATGATTTAAATGTGGGCTATTTGAATGATCATGCTTCAAAATTTATGTACCTCAAAAGAAATTATTACCAACACATTCTCACTCCGACCTCATCACATATTGATTGGTCATGGACTTTCCACATTCAGATACGAGCAAGGTACCCTGGGCGCATTGGTTGTTGACGTTCTGGGATGCCACGTCAAGTTCTGCCTGTTACATGCATTGTCTTCTTTCAAAATGCACTTCTGTTTTCACAGGAAATATACCGTTTATTGGTATTTTTGTCGCTACAACACTGTGAATTGATGTTTTTTTTTTCCTTCAACAACTAATGCACGTGGTTGGGTTTAGACAACAAAAACACGTGGTTGGGTTTAGGAAAAAAAAGAACATGGTTTGGCCTCAACGCTGCTGGGCATGGAAAGTCCACGACCAAACGTCGGTATGTGACGAGGTCAGAATGAGAATGTGTTGAAAAGGAGTGTCAGGTTAGAAAAAGACGCTTTGTGTCATTGTTAAGGCTGTTCTCATGCACTGTTTGTACATGTAGCTATGAAAGTAATGCACCAGAATTAGAAGGAAGCAGTATAACTAGTGAAAGTCAGAGGAAGAAGGAAAACACTGGACTTCCCCCAGGAGGCTGGTGTTCATGTCCCATCTGAAATCAAGTGAACTTTGAGTTATTATAAAGTACATCGTCATCATGTTTATTTTTCTAAACCTAACCTACTCATCTTAACATTATGTATGGAACTCTATATTAAGTGCATGACGGGACGATGCCCAACTGTTTCTTTTGCAAAATCTAACCTATGTAACTTTACGTTAAGTGTGTAACTTGATGTCAATAATAATGTTAATTATTCTGATGATTTTCACTTGAAACAGCTCGTCCTGCCTCTGAATATCCAATCAGATGCAGTGTGAAGTCACGTTCAGGCCCTTTGGGGCAATATCAGCCTGGTTGGAAATTGCCCCGACTCACTCTCATAGACTTCCATGTAAAATGCTTTTTTTTCTAAATGCAGGCACTCCAATGCAATCTCTATGTGTTCCGGGAGGGGCGTGTTTTCGTCATACGTAAACCACCAAGTATCATTCATGTGCTCCTCGGATGGTCCGATTTCCCGTGTCTGGAAGTTGTTTTTACTTCATTGTGTGTTCATGAGCGTTTAGGTCGTAATGTGGAGACATCATGGACATTACAAAGAAGATGTGTTGTATTTTATCACTCAAAATGTTTAAAAAACATGTCGTCAAACGTTTCCACTGAAATATTGCTTTACGGTTGGAAACACATTTTATCGATTATTCCGACATCACATGAGGCAGCGCCACTGCGCAGCGGTCACATTCAAGATCAACATGACTAACGTTTCCTGCTGATCCAAGAGGCTTTTTAACCATATAGGTTAACCATATAGGTTAAAAAGAAATGAGACATAGTACGCCCAATTTCACACCTGTTCGTTCTTCTCTATGGATTTTCTCAGCGACCGTTAGCGAGAAGCCACACATATCACGTGAAACAGCGGAACTGCAGCTTTGTCAGACACTTGTCGGTAGTCCAATGTTTTCACAGCGAAAAAAAATGATAAAGTTACACTAAAATTATGTATAACAGAGCTTTCATACAGCTTTGCACACACATTACTCTTGGATGGATTACTCGCAAATGCAGGGTCGCACAGAAATGCCACGCATATCAAATGAAAGTGCAGGAGCAGAGCTTTCCAATGATACCACACACATCATTGTGCTGTCATCCCATCATGCTAAAAATCCAGATCAATTGTCTACAAAATGAAAACCTGACGAATTTCTTTACAATCCATTATACAGAGCTTGCTGTCAGTCGCTTCATATAGTGAGGATTATCGTATCTTACCACGTATTAGGCTTGTGTGTGTTTCTCCCTGTCTATCCACATTTGTAGTCCGGCTTTCAAGATGCAAATATCTCCATATTGTCCAGTTGACACTTCATCAAACTTTGTATGACAAGACCAGCCACTTCACCTTTGCGCACCCGGACAACTGCAGCCTAATTATGCATGCATGACAGGGCCTTAGTCACCACATACATTGAGGGGAACATTGAGGGGAATCTTTAATCAGAACACAAAATTAATTTCCACTTAGCTATAATAAAATGTTTTCTGATTAAGAATGAGAATGACTCAGTGAATACCTTACTCAATTTTATTTGATTAATGATAAAACAGGTCTCTGTTTACATTCAAAGGTATTTGTGTGGAAAAACAGATAAAAATTAGTCTGTTGATGACCACAGTGGATTGTTCAGTCATTGTAGAGCCAAATTAATTCAAATTTACCCATTGAACGGGTCACCTCAGCCATCATCACAACAATTGCCCCCCCTGAGAAATTTGGCAGGAGCCGCCACTGATTTGTAGGAACAAAATTTAATAGATACCATATGAACCACTGTATTTGCATGCCTGTATGAGGATACATTGAAAGGCCATTTACAAACAATGCATTTTGTCATTTATTTTGGCGGACTTGTTGGTTTCGTCAAGTCTGAACACAACCTTCAGTTGATTTCACTTCTTGGTAACATCTCTCCAAGAGGAAAGATTGAATTCTAAGAGCCTTTTGGTGAGAATGAAAACCTGCAGACTGTATGTGGGAAGACTATAAGTGGTTAATGGCACATGCTCTTATATCCCTGGTCTGCAGAAAAATAGGGGGGGGTTTGATGATGACACACAACTCTAACTGCTCCATAAAGATCAAGTGTCAGAGTGACGGACAGAGAGAGGAGATAGAATGAGATGAGCGAACGTAGTGGAGAAATAAAGTCTGAGGTGACGGAGTGAGTAATGATGGTGACAGCAGCTGTGCGGGGTCAGACATCCTCAATTATTCTCTCTAGAAGATGGGCGTGTGGTCCTGTTGGAAGATACAGTGGAAATGCTAACAGAGAGAGCAAAAAGCCAAAGTGGGGAAAAGTGATAATCTGTAAGTGACACAGTGTGTGTGGGCGAAATAACATAATGATGGAGCATAAAAATGGTTTCAGCTCCCAACTTAACTTCCTGTACTTCTCACCAGACAGCGAGACACGGCGGTCTTGATTTGTACTTGTCACCAGGTGTCCCCAGTGGGTTTCAACACACTGATTTAGCTCAGTGTAATGGGTCACACTCACTGCGGGGTGCTCGGAATTACTCATCAGTGGCAGGTGGAGGAGATGCGAGGTAAACACGGGAATGGAGCGAAATCATTCAGTTAACAAACTTGTGTCTCTCACTTATGATGTTGAGCTGTCAACACTCAGCAGCGTAATGAAGGTGCTCAATCTCTGCGGTGTCTGCTACACTCATGTAGCCCACACACACGCGCACACACACACACCTCATCACACATGGAAACCCTGACAACTGTTAAGGGATGAAAATAGCAAGTGTTGATTGATAAAAAGTACTTGTAGGTGGAGATAGGAAATTGCAGGAGTGATGACGCATTTCACTCTTCTTTCTTGTTCACAAGCTCAAATCAAGTCAGTTGTATTAATGTAGCTCCAAATCACATATTTGCCTCAATGATATTACAGCCTGTCCAACCTACAATATGCAGTTACACCCTCAATTTAAATTAAGGGATTAGAAATGTATATGTATACAGTACATAACACAGAAACATACTAAATTGAGAAACAGCAGAAAGCAGCAGCACGGCCGTGCAGCACAGCCCAGGTATGAAACCATTTGACTTCTTTTTAGAAATCAATCTCCCTGTGTACCCGGGATTTGATTCCTGACTGCTCTCTGATCTCCATTTCACTGTAAACACCTGAATGTCCACATGTGGGGATCAATAAAGGCTTGTCTTGTTTCCATCAATTTCCCCGTAAAGTAAAGCCAAAGAGAGGCCAACAATGCAGCTTTACTTTGAAAAATAGAGTCAGGCACATCAGGGTATCAGGGTATTGCAGGGTATGTTATGAACATAGATTGATTAATGACTAAAATGATAAATACACTTTTGCTTTTTAGAGTAGAATTTTTAATTATGAGCCAAACCTTACACAAAATCTTCTTTTATCTGTAGTTATTTGAAGTCAGTTTATCCTCTTTTCAGTTCAAAAATCTTCTGCCATTGCAGCCAAACATCTGAACAAACCTTCATTTACACCCTATCATTAGAGTGAGGGTATTTTAAAGGAAATCTACTTGTAATATCCTTGGCAGCACAATTGAGTTTGTCAGGAGAGCCAAGCCAGGTCACCTTCCCAGAAAGAAATTTAATAGGTCACATTTGCACGTTTTAATTAACCTCCAGATGATAAACGTTGAGTAATCTGCGTGTCCACTCACCTTTGTACCTCACGCGCTGAGGTATGTGTGTGGAATCGTTGCCGCTGGTGATGTTTGATGCCTCCAAGCTCCCGTTACCGGCTCCGCTCTGCAGCGCGTCAGTCTGCGCTCCGACCCACTCGGGAGATGTAAATGTCTCATTTCGCGCATAAAGATCCATGTTTATGTCTTATTTATTTAATAAAGATCTCTGAGGTTACGGAGAGTTCGATCCAGACCTTTTGTCAGTTTTTGTCTGAACCTCTAAAGTGGTAAAAATAACTCTTCATCCATGGTTCTTCGCACTTGAGACCGTGGCTAGTTGTCGCTTTCCAAACCTCTGCAAAACAAATGTAAAAACAAAACTGCACTTTACTAAATGTTCGCTTATGTTCCCACCTTTGCTGTAGTGGATGTGTCTCACTTGGCATCACACGCCTCAATCAGGGATCGGTGCGCACTAGGATAAAGGAGGAGCGCGGCGCACGGCTGCGCCTGTGCCAAGTGAACCGCATGGAGAGCGAGTGAGCGCAGAGTGGAGTGGGAGACTAATGTCATATAGGGTGGGTGGGTGGTGTGTGTGTGTGTGGGTATGTGTGTGAGGGGTGTTTTCTCAATCTAAAAAGCTCGATAAAAACCATAAAATGAAAAAACATGAATCGTTTTTCCATTTGTGAAACATAGTCGCCCTGTGCGGGTGTTAGGGGATTACTGAATGAAAAAAATATTGAATCACTCACAAGAAGAGTTAATTAATTTTCTTGAGGTATAAAAGAAGGGGTGGCATTGTGGGGTTAAAAGTAATTGAGGAGTTTAATGAGCTCAGCTGGAAGCATTAAGTGCAGCAACACTGTGTTAACGAATAAGTTAATACCTTTTTTTTAATAATAGCTCCACCTCTATCTGTCATATCTGAGTCCACATCATCTTGTCATAGTGACAAACCTTAAGATATATCTCTTCAATTTTAGGTTGACAAAAATAGCCTGGGATCTATTGTTAAACTGCAAGGCAATTTAAATGAACAATGCGCAGAATTCAGAGACTGGATCTGAGTGATGAGAGGAAACAATGTCCACGCGTTGTGCATGCAGGTTATTTTGCGACTCTAAATTAAGTGTGAATAGTTGTCTGTCTCTTTGTGTCGGCCTGGCGACCTGTCAAGGGTGTAGACGTCCCCCCTATGACAGCTGGAGGTGGCTCCAGCCTCCCTGCGACCCTCAAGGATAGGCGGGTATAACGGATGGATGGATGACCTCATGCTCTTAATAGGCCCATGGCTAAAAGCAGCTGTAGTTGTTTGTGTGCGCACCGCCGCCCTCATGTGGTGTATGAGTGCACTTCCTGTCTTTTAGATCAACATGTTTCAGTGCTTTGCGTGAATTAAAAAGGTTCTGGAGAATATGGAAATACACGTCACATTCTTGTCTGAGTCATTTGCCTGAGCAGAAAGGTACAGTATGAGTCATTGTGGTTTTCAGTTTGGAAGGGTTATCCTCCTTATTATATCTTGCTTATCATAATCAAAATCATTATTACTTCATTAACCTCTCCTCTAGAAGAGACTAATTACATCTTATGATATCAAAACGTCTGCAGTGGTTCCTCCACATCTTTTTTCTGTGTTTTTACCATGCATCACTCGCATTCAGAAACATTTTACAGATGTTCTGTGTGAGATCTTGGCGTTGTATGTATGTTTCTGCAAACCACGGATAGGCTACATAACATTTGTACTTCTCAACAATGCTGTGGTTAACGTGTGGTTAGGTTTAGGCACTAAGTTCACTTGGTTATGTTTAGGAAAAGATCATATTTTGGTGCGAAATACCATGCTTTGGTGGCACAATCCCTGGTGGAAACGCAGCAATGTCTCAGGAAGAAATAACTGCTTTTGGTGGCACTATCCCAGCTAGAAATGCTGCGACATCTTGGTACAAAACAATTGCTTTTTTTGGCACTATACCTGGTGAAAACACAGCAAAGTCTCAGTAAAAAACAGTCCCTTTTTGTGGCACTACTCCCATTGGAAAAACAGTCACAGGTCAATTAAACACAACCAGTTTTGCTCTTTGTTGGTCTCAAACAATGATCTGCGGTGGTCTGCTGCTTGGCAGGTGTCTCACCTAGAATGATCACCTAAAAAATGACAAAAACAACCTGTTTTGTTGTTTAGATTAAAGACTCTATTGGTGCTAAAGAAGCTGCAGGAGTTGACAATCAACAATAACAATAATGCTTGTATATGATTGCCTTTTATAGAATTGTTTTACATGAGGCTCTGGTTCTGCAGCCAATTAAATCATTATGATTTAATTGGCTGCAGAACCATAATGATATGAATACATGCCCCTTACGTACTCTTGTGTCACCTAAAGACATGTCAGCAGTGATGAATGTGACTGAGCCTAGTCGTTGGGAATTAAAATTAAAAAAAAAAAAAATACATTTTAAAAAACAGCACTTGCAGGTCTAGACAGATATATCCATTCATTTATTCATTTTCTGTAATCGCTTATCCTGTTGGGGGTCACGGGCAGCTGGAGCCTATCCCAGCTGACACTGGGCACCCTGGACAGGCCGCCAGACTATTGCAGGGCTGACACATAGAGACAGACAACCATTCACACTCACATTCACACCAATGGCCAATTTAGAGTCACCAGTTAACCTGACATGCATGTCTTTGGACTGTGAGAGGAAGCCGGAGTACCTGGACGAAGCCCACGCTGACACGGTGAGAACATGCAAACTTCGCACGGAGAGGCTTCCCCACTCTGGGGTTCAAACCCCCCACACCAAGGGCCCGTCCCAATACCCCCCCTTAGCCCTACCCTATTTGCGCGTTACCACAAGGGGTAGGGGTGTCTCAATTCCTTTTTGCGTGTAGGGGTAGGGGGCATAACAAGGGGTAGTGGGTATGAAACTAACCCTTTGGAGCGAGAGATTTCAGATGCTGACTTGCCAGCGAGGGGTAGACGTCGCCATGGCTACCACCGAGCAAGAGATGGGGAAAAAAGTTCATACATAGCTAACATTACTGTCATCAGGTTGCTTGTTAGCTAGCTAGCTAGCTCGCGCTATCTGGCGTCTGTCATCTGTCCTGTTCTGGAAAATTGTCGGGTTTTTCACATTACGATAACACGCCAGCTAAAATAACTATGCTGCCTCGTAATGTTAGCTGGTTAGCTAGCTATCTAGCTAGCAGAAGTCCCCTGTCGTCTGTCGTTCATCAAATGGAGCATGATGAATAATGCAAACGTGGTCGGTAGGATGAACTCAACTGGAGACTCCATTGTAGATGCCGGTTGGAAATGTAGATGGCTCACAGCTTCCTACTTAAAATAGTTACGTATGCGTGAACGTAACCGACGCAGTGACGTAGTGAGTGGTGTCCCAATTCCTAGTGAAAGATTTCAACCCCTAACCCTCGTTGTTTCATTTCGAGGTGCTAAGGGGTAGTGGGCAAGGGTTAGGGGTATTGGGATTGGGCCCAAGTTCGAACCAGGAACCAGGAACCCTCTTGCTCTGAGGCGACAGTGCCAACCACTGCACCACCATGCTGCCCAGATATATTCAGAGCCTGAATATCACTGATGGTTTCGGACTTTCAACATTTTTATTACATGTATGGCTCAGTTTTGTCTTTAAATGCTTAGAATTCTGAATGATGTTCAATGACAGAATGTTTCTACAGGTTTGCGCAAAATTAATGGCTTTTATTAAAGGCTGGTAAGTGTCATGATGAGAACAATCCTTTGGTTAGGCCATTATGATCAATCATTTCATCAAGGCTTAAAGATAATGTGTTTCCGTCCATCTGCACCATTGCGCTGTACCGAGCTGGGGAGAAGAGCGGAGACTGTCTCTTCCCTGCCACCTGTACATTTGGGAGGTTAAAATGTCGCTGCTTTCTGAGGCGTGTTATTGCTGTGGAGAGCGGGGACCGACTGCTTGGCCTCTGAATGCTCAAATGACTCCCGGAGAGAAAAAAAAGAAGGGGCCATTATTTGAAGCGGCCCAGCTCTAATCTTTCTCCTGGTCTAATTAGCTGGCTCAGGCAGGTCATGTGCGGGGCCACTTACCCCAGATAAACAAGCCATGTGAGGATGCCAATCAAGATGAGGAGAGAGCCTAGTGCTCCCAGTTGAGTGCAGTAATCACAAACTGGCATGGCGTGTTGATTACTGATGCTCCACTGCTGATGAAGACAGGTTGGAGATAATCACTGCCGGGGTGGCAGAATACAGCTCATGACTGTATCCTCTGGTGCTGCAGCATATGCATACTTTTCTGCCGTTACTGTAAACACCACAAAGATTAGGTTACAGGTCAAATAAACAACTGCAGCACTGGAGGATTCATCAATCCAGGCGGTCGCTGTCACGGAAATACATTAAACTCTCCTTTTTTTCCGGCAAACACAAGGTGATGACTGAGGGTAATGGATAGTGAATGCATCAGTGCTAAGCCGAGCTGAAGACAATTTCTGTCTCCGTCTGCTCACTTCATCTCTCCTCTGGTTGTGGCTCCTGGACCCCTGGAATCGATTGTTCAAACATTGCTCCAGGCCGGTGAGTGTGTGGCTGTAGGGTTGGAGGTGTGTGTGTGTGTGGGGGGGGGGGCTCAGGGCACCGAAACATCAGCAGTCTTAAGTGCCTGGTCTCAAGGTGCATACACCTGTATCTGAGTGTCTGTGTATACAAGCGGGGAGACTGATGCCCTCGATCCTGCACAGATTCTGCCATTTCCTGCTGTTGTTCTCGATTTGTGGCAGACAGTGCTGCGCCCTCATGATTTTTCACCTGAATGCTGTTTCCAAAAACATGGTTATTTTCTGAACTAGAGGTAGTGGGTAAGCTCTTTTCTTGCAGTGGCTATAATCAATATTTTTTTAAAAACATTGTGGTGGCAATTTCTGCTAGACAGAACTCGTCGACTCAGAAACTTGTCTTTTTGTAAGTTTAATTCAGCTTAGGTTAGGTTAACTGGTGACTCTACATTTCCCATGCAAGCAAATGGTTGTCTATACGTGTCAGCCTTATAATAGTCAGGCTATCTGTCCAGGGTGTGCCTACCTTTCACCCAATGTCAGCTGGGATAGGCTCCAACCCCCACATGACCCTTAATGGGATAAGCAGTTACGGATAATGAATTAATTAATTGATATAAAATCATAATGTGACAAAGAGGTCACTTGTAGTGATGAACCTACAGAGAATTATCACCTGAATCTGCAGCTTCCCTCTCTCTTATGGAGCTTTATAATGAGTTTCAGCTCAGTTTAGCTGTCCTGCTCACGCTTCACCGCTGTCATAGCTTTCAGGGAGAAGCCTTAAAAACTCACTGTACATCACCTCTTCAGTGCCAAAGGGTTGACAGACACAGTAAGTGAGCTGGTGAATCAACCTGCTCCCCCAACTCATCAAATACCACCACTTTGTCAGTGGACCTAAACATCAAAATATGGCGCATTAGGTAGCCTCCTGTTTCGGTTCTTG